TCTAATGTTTAACAACTATGGCAAGGAAGGCCGTAAAATGGGACAAAATTCAATTAACAAATGTCTCACTTAGCAATGGTGTTCCTCATCCCAATTACTGTTAGTAAGTGAGGACTACCGGTATAGTCTTTGTATATGCAACTGCAAAGATGTTTTTCTGGTGGAACATATGTGATAAGTCAGTTCTTTGGTTTTTGAGAGTTGGGGTATTCAAAGATGCCCGGTTTTATTTGGCACAACTCAAAGGACACTGAACCTGATTTTCACATTGTGGATTAATATGCACTTATCCTTTGTTTTGTGAAAACATTTTCTAATGTTTAATAAATATACTGCATGTAAAATATTGTATTTTAGGCTTAGGAAAAATGTACATGAGTAATTCTCAACTTACAATCACAACTGATCCCAAAACTTCCATTGCTAAGTGAGACATTTGTTAATTGAATTTTGTCCCATTTTACGGCCTTCCTTGCCATAGTTGTTAAGCGAATCACTGAAGTTGTTAAGTTAGTAATACGGTTGTTAAGTGAACCTGGCTTTTCCATTGACGTTACTTGTCAGAAGGTCTCCAAGATGCTCATATGAGTCAGTTGAAAAGCATCTAAATTTTCATGTAATCATCAGGATGCTACAATGGTTGTAAGTGGTCATAGGCCACTTTTTTCAGTGCTGTTGTAACTTCAAATGGTCACTAAGCGAATTGTTGTAGGTTGAGGACTACTGTAATTTGGGGAAGGTATATTTTTAAACAAAAAAGAAATCACAGTTTGATTCAGAAATGTGATGAAACCGTGTCGTGAATGAACAGGTGAGAAAGTGACATGGGCCAGGAAAAGATCTATGTTTTGTTGCGTCATGCTTCGACGTTTCATAGAAGTCCGTACTTCTCGGCATGTGCATGAACACCCGTGGCCTGTGCCCTCCTGGCACTAAGAGTGGTAAAGAAAGGATTTATGTTACAGGTACCATTTTTGCTTATGGACAGACTGGAACAGGAAAGACTTTTACTATGGAGGGTGTCCGGGCTGTACCAGAACTCAGGGGAATCATTCCCAATTCCTTTGCTCATGTATTTGGACACATTGCAAAAGCTGAAGGAGATACGAGGTAAAAGAATACATTTTATTTCTTCACATTCCTATCCTGCCAGTATTAATTCCACTTCAGAAGGGCTTTCCTGGACCAGACTGAAATTCCATCTAGTCCCAGGATTTGGTTTCTGACTGTGAAAAATTAGCTTTTTTGCTATTGAGCCCAGCTACCGTATCTCTTTGCTACATGACAGATCCTGGCGGATTTGGGTGTGTGTGTGACGAGGCAGCCTCAGCCGTGGCAAAGAACCATTAATCCAAATGGAAGGGATTCCCATCCCTCCTCATCCAATCGGCCAGTCCCAGTCAAGCACAACAGCAGCCATTCAGCAGCCCCCCGCATGTCTTTCCCTCCTTGCTGAAGAGAAGAAGCGAGCCGATTGCCACTCCTTGGGCCAAGCGGCTCATCGTCACCGCCAGTCCGAGGGAAGGGGAGGGGAATAAAGCATGGAAAGAGATGTTTAGTCCTGCCCTCCCATGGGAGGAGTAGGGAAAATTGGATTTGAGATTGATAAAAGCCTTACTTTTTAAGAAGCCCCCAGCATTGCATTTTTGCTCTCCCCGGCCCCCAGAAGCACTTTGGAAGCTTCCCAAACTCTATGCATGCCCTGTTTTTCACAAAAAACGGGGTATGCAGATGGTTTGGGATGCCTGCAGAGTGCTCCTGGGAGCCAGGGATGGCAAAAACCTTTTTTTTAGATTTGCCTCTTCAAAATCTTGGTGCATCTTATACTCTGAAGAATATGGTATTTAAACACAATTCCTTTTAGTTTTCTATTAATATCCAAAGATAGACAACTTTTGAAATGTGCCTTCCAATTATCTAATGCTCCTGTTGATTTGCCAGTAGCAATGAATTAGCTAAACTGAATAGGTGTTTCATGAAAAAAAAATACTTCTATAGTATTCAGCACTCAGCAATACATATGTAAATTCTTGCTTGCAGAGTCTTTGTCTTTTAATAAGCTTCTTAGAAACTTGCTTGCCACCCAGACTGAGATGGGTGGTATATAAATTTAATAAACAAATTTATAAATTTAATTAGGTATTTATTTAATTTAAAAAACTTGTGAGCTATCAACTCAAGCCTTAACTGAAAGAAATATTGTATTCCAAAATTGTTCTGAACACTCTAACTTAAAGTCATCTGGTTCTTACACATACCTCTTAACTTTTGACTACCCAAAGCTTTCTTCTTTTTAGTATAATTTAGAATAAAGGGAAGACATTTTGGTTATTCTTAAAATGTCATTAAACATTTAAGAATAACCATTCTTGGGCATTTCCTGCAAAGATTCCAGAGATTTTTCTAGTAGATCATCATTTATCTACAGCTAACAAGATGGATTCACTTCAGAGAAGAAAGAAAGGGGATCCCTTACCATAGAAACCAGCTCACAAAAGAATGGATGGCATTTCATTGTCTTTACTTCATAGCTTTATGGGAAAATCATACAGAGCATGACATTTGTGTTGTATTTCTGTCTCAAATACATTTCTTAATTTGAAATGCCCCAAATGGAATATCCCCCCGCCTAATAAGATAGAGGCTATAAGCGTCTTTTCAAAAGTTCCCTTATTTTTTTTTAAAATCATTCCAGTGTATCTTCCACTTTCCCTCTCTCCCTCCTTCATACATTAAAATTAATTCTGGCCATATTTTTGCTATAATTATATTTTTAAACTTCAGGTTTTTGGTTCGAGTTTCTTACTTGGAAATCTACAATGAGGAAGTTCGTGACCTCTTGGGAAAGGACCAGACACAGAGGCTGGAGGTAAAAACTTAAACTCTTACCATTGTGAAAACTAGCTACATGATCACCTCTCTTCCGTTTACTCAAATGGCATTACAGTGCTCATCTCTGATTTATTAAGGCTTTTCACACAGTCAGTTAAATGTTTAGATTGGATTTGCCATTTTTATCCAGCTATCAAATCCTTCCCAAGTCCCTGGGATGGGCAAACATTGTTGTTTGATAGTATTAAAGGTATCATCACAGGATGAAAGCTGTTCCAAGAAAAGCTGCCTTTTGCAATTAACTGATGGTTATTTTGTCAATGTTGATGATGCTCCGGGTGTTTTGGCATTGCAACGAAGGCACCTAGTTCTATTGGTATGATCTTTGTTTCTTTCACCACAGTCGTTCTACTTCTATTTTAGGTGTTTATGTTTTATGAATATTTCCAGATCTTTCTCTTCTCTTCTGCTGTCTCCAGATATTACAAAGCCCACTATCCAGATTTTTTAAAATCTTTCTTATCAACAATAGTTTTAAGTTTAGAGTGTTATGTGTTTCTACAGTAGGTGCCAGTTATTACACATGCACACACAAACAGACTGAATATACTAATATTCCTGCCTTTTTTTCTCCACAACAACAATCCCGCGAGGTAGACTGGAGTAGACTGGGTTGAGGGAGAGTAACTGGCTCAAAGTCACTCAGCCAGCTAAAGGATGCCTAGAACTCACAGTCTCCTAGTTTCTAGGCCAGCACCTTATTCACTACGCCAGACTGCTCTCTTTAGTATTCTAAGAAAATAAATACTTGTATGGTCTGTTCCGCTGAATATAAAGAACATCAGGAATAGCTTTATAAAAAATACATAACGTGCATAGAAAGTATTAACTAAAATGTCTTATAGGTTAAAGAACGACCTGATGTAGGAGTCTATATCAAAGATCTTTCAGCCTACGTTGTAAACAATGCAGATGACATGGATAGAATTATGACTCTTGGCCATAAAAACCGTAAGTTGCATAGCCCTGGTTGAGTGCTCCATATTCTTTGTGGAATGTCCTCAGTTTCGTTAAATGTGGCTATTCATTATAAAAGTGTAAGAAGAACCGTCTATAATATATATGGTGACTCCTTTGTCTTTTCCAGTGCAGCGGGCTCAGTACATGTCTTTCTACATATGCAGCCTTAGATATAAAAAAAGTGATCAAATTTGAATTTGATTTGGTTCCTGAAGCTTGCCTAAGTTTTTCATTTTTATAATTAATACAAATATTAAAAAGCATGCAGGCAAGCTGAAGACAGCTTGAATAGATAGAGTTTTGATACCTGTTCATTCAAGCTGGTATTTTCCCTTCCGCCCAGGGTTGGAAGAGGGCTGCTAGAGCAGTGTCAAAAAGTCAGAAAGATGATGTTATTAATTCAAACTTTTAGATTCCCTTCTCTGTGTCAATAGGTTCTGTTGGTGCCACTAATATGAATGAGCACAGTTCCCGCTCCCATGCTATCTTCACAATCACAATTGAGTGCAGTGAAAAGGGTGTGGATGGGAACATACATGTGCGTATGGGCAAGCTACATCTAGTAGATCTTGCGGTAAGTGTTTTTCTTTTCATAGGTTTGTAGCATGTCTAAGCAGTCGGTCTTTTTCAGCTGCTATATTCAATGTTCTGATTTAAAGAAAGTATTTCTGGAAGAGCCCTTTGTCCCCTAACTCTCTGCCTCTTTATTTCTTCCTAAAGGGTTCAGAAAGGCAGGCAAAAACTGGAGCTACTGGGCAACGACTGAAAGAAGCAACAAAAATCAACCTTTCTCTCTCCACCCTTGGGAATGTCATCTCGGCGCTGGTGGATGGAAAGAGCACTCATGTGCCTTACCGTAATTCTAAACTGACCCGGCTACTCCAGGATTCTCTTGGCGGCAACTCCAAAACTATGATGGTAATAAGAAGGAAACATTAGAGATTCATGTGGGGCAAGCAAATGATAGTCCAGAGGCTACTAGATTGTGGATGGGGAAATCAGGTTCAAACTCAATCCAAATAAGGTGGAGTTACTGTTGATTCAGAGATTGCAGCACTACAACTTTTTGACTCTTGGTGGTATTGTTCTACCCTCAGCAAGAACACACTCACAGTCAAGAGTCTTGCACTCGCAGAGCAGGTGAAGACTGGCCAGAAGGGATTTTGCAATGTGTGGCTGGTAATGAAAGCCACCTCCCAAGAGGTGCAGAAGGAAGGGGCCTGACAGCAAATATTCTCTGTAATATCTTCCTTCTTTTGGAACAGCTTCTTCCTTGAACCAAGGATGCCCCCCTTCATCCTCACAGCTTATGGAAGCAAGTGTACATATAGTTTTGGAAGGCCTTGGGGATTAAGCATTAGTGTCATATCAAATGCCAATTCGCTATTATTATTCTACTATCAAAATTGGAAACATGGGTTATAGTGATGATTTATAATTTTGATTTTATTATACATTGTACGCAGTACAATCTACAGTTGTGTTATATTGTAAATTCTGCAAGCAAAATACATTAATAGCTTCAGCTCCTAGTTCTCTTTAATGATTCTTCTCACCACATATTTTCTATTGGCAAAGAATGTTGAATCCCATATGCAACCTCGAATCCTCATTTTTCAACTTTTGAAGTCGTCTCCAATGCCTGAAAATCAGTGATAGCATTTGCAAATGTTTTGTGGCAAAAAATATATAAAAACTCACACTCGAACTATCTTAATTGTAATGCCCCTCCCACATCTTTTACCATTCCCTTATAGGAGATAAATCTCCACAAATAGGCTTTGTTAGTCTGTAGGTTTCCACAGTATAGTAACATTTTTTTAAATTTTAACTTCTCTATTCGCCATTGAAAAACGGGGGATGGCTACATAGAATGGATCAGTTGCCTAAGAGGAATCAAGGTTTGCTTGGTGTAGCTAGGTGGGTAGAAGTGTCCTTTGGGAAGTTATTTTTATATCCAAGATGCTCCATTCTAGTTCCTTTTTAAATGTCAAGTTATCACAAGCAGGCAGTGTTTGCTTCCACGAAGCATGGAAAGTTCTCTGTGAGCTATTTTGTGCATTCTTCCTTTGAGGGTTTTTTCCCCCTTAAAACTTTTTCATAATTCTGCAAATGTTGGATTTTCCTCAAGCTTGTTGAATTCTCCCTCTTGACATAACAATCCATTCCCAGAGATTATGCTTGCCAATTGGAATTGTGTCAATTGGTTCTCTATTACATTGCCCAATTTGTTGCAATTCAGTAAGGATAAATTATGAACAGTTGGTCCCCCCCCCCCAAGCTTCCCATGCTGGTGGAGTGGAAGATGATAAGTGTTTCTGGTTTTGATGGTCTTGATCACCTGCCTACTGTGGAGAATGCCAGTGTCCAAGCATAGCTGGAGAGGTGTGCATTTTTTTGCCTTAAGAGCATTTCTGGATTGGATTGTAAATGTTTCCTTAGTTTTGAAAAGCATTCAAATCGTTCTTGCATTTAAAATCCAACTATCAGTATGTTAGAATTCTAGCTTTAGCTTACATTTGACCATAATGTTGCACTTTCTGTAAATTGAGAATTGGATTGTTACGTGCTTAATTGTGGGCTTTTATGCTTGTTTATAATTTTTTCTTTCTTTCTAGTGTGCAAACATTGGCCCAGCAGACTACAATTATGATGAGACCATCAGCACTCTGCGATATGCTAATCGTGCTAAAAATATCAAGAATAAGGCTAGAATTAATGAAGATCCAAAGGATGCCTTACTTCGCCAATTTCAAAAAGAAATAGAAGAACTTAAGAAAAAGTTGGAGGAAGGTAATTTGTTCATTGTCTCCTATTAATACATCTGGCTTGTAATATCCCATTTTAAATACATTCCATGTTCTTCAATAAAATGGCAAACAATGAATGTAGATTTTAATATGTATATCGGATTATCCTATGTTTCCTTCAAGAAATTAGGATAATACACAGATTTGTTTTCCCTTTATTTTTTGTCTTTGAGCATCTTGTACTATAGCAGCGATGGTGAATCTTTTTTGGCTCATGTGCCATCAATTGGGGGAGCGCAGGGGGGTTGTGCGTGGGCGTGCCGCACCCATAATGCAATGTATGACACACACACACGCCCCCCAGTGCGCATGCATGCATGACAGGCACTCCCATCATTTTTTGCATTTTTTTCCACTCTCCCCAGGCTCCAGAGGCTTTATAGGAGCCTGGGGAGGCAAAAACAGCCTCCCTCATCCCCCCAGAGGCCCTCCGAAGGCTTCAGGGATCTTCAGGAGGTATCTCTGAAGTCACTGGAGGACTAAGAACAACCCTACAAGCAAACTGGAAGTGACTTCCGGTTTGCTTGGAGGGCTGTTTTTAGTCCTCCGGAGGCTTCAGGAACCTTCAGGAGGCTTCCCTGAAGGCTTCGGAGGACTAAAAATGACTCTGAGTAAAATATTTTTAGTCCTCTGGAGCCTTCAAGGAAGCCTCCTGAAGGGTCCGGAGGGCTTAAACTGACCCTACGAGCAAACTGGAAGTCCGTTCCCGAACTTCCGGTTTGGCCATAGGGCTGTTTTTTTGCGCTCCGGAGGCTTCAGGAAAGCTCTTGAAGCCTCCAGAGGGCCTCTGGGGGGGGGCAGGGGGCTCTTTTCACCTTCTCCAGACTCCTATAAAGCCTCTGGAGCCTGGGGAGGGTGAAAAATGGCTTTAAAAAAGGCTGAACTCAGCTGGCCAGCGTGCACATGTGCACTGGCCAGCTGACGGCAACGCCTCGCGTGCTCTGACAAATGGCTCCGTGTGCCACCTGTGGCACGCATGCCATAGGTTCACCATCCCGGTACTATAGCTTAGGCTAGGAGATGCTGAGCGTCCTAAACCTACCTGTTAAGTTTAGCAGCTTAATGTCTTTTTTAGTCCAAGTCCTCCCTTCAACCTCCATTCATGGTTTTAACTTCTTTCAATGAAAGAAGCCAGTTAGATAGCAGCTAAGAATGTGTTGCAGATATCACCTATTCTTATTCACTAAATGTAATTTGTTTGCAACAAATACAAAGCAGAAGGCACAGTCACAGAGCCTTTGGTAGCGATATCACTTGCCAAGGATTTCTTGATAATCTGCTAATTATTTTTGATCAGTTTCTTTGTGTTGCTATTTTCTAACAAAACTTGTAAAGCTAAAGGGTAAAATTAGATTGGGATTTAAATTAACACACCAGGATTCTGTAGATAAAAATTAATTTAAAATAATTTGTTTCCTGTATTAAAAATGACGAACTAATGTAGGGGAAGAAATCTCTGGCTCTGAGACCAGTGGCTCTGAAGAGGAGGAAGAGGATGAGGATGGGGAAATTGGTGAAGATGGAGAAAAACGAAAGAAACGAAGAGGTAAGGTGCTTTCAGATCACTTGATATCATTTTCATGTTTGTGCCTGAGTGCCCACTGCAGTAAACTTGTCCTCCTCTAAAATTGCATTTAGTTAAATCATAAATATTAAAAGGGTTTTTTTTAGGATGAAATAATTGTGAAGTATAATGATGCTCAAATAGCTTCAAGCTAGTATTGATGTTTCCTAGAAAGCACAAAGGTTCTGTGCTGTCTTCTGAACTTTGGCTTCTACTTCATTTAAATCAATAAGTTTTATAATTGGGGGTGTTTGCATAAAGAAATTTGGTTGAATGTATTCATTCCCAAAGACAATATTTTTGTCTCCTGTTTGGTGATTGTGGGGGGAAATAATGATGGCACTGTTAAGCTTTACCTCTGAAAAATAAAGGATATCTTTCTGTTAACTTCAAAAGAATCTACAGGATTTTAAGCTTCCGGTTGATTTTCATTTAATTTAACTTAATTTTTTAAAAACTTAGTTATAATAATATAGCTGTGAATAATACTGCAGTTTAATTGCACATAAGACTTAACTTAGTCTGTTGCATGTATCCAGTCCAGGATAGTAACTTGAGATAGAATCTGCATTTAAGCTGAGTAATGTGCTATGGAAACAAAGGAGGCATATTTGAGTTTCAGTGCTCTGGAGAGAAAAAATCTATTGTTATTTGGTTGCAAAATGTCTTCTTTTCGGAGTGCTTATCCGTGTATAAATGGATAACACATGACCCGAAACCTGCCAATGCATTATTGATTTAAAGAAATCTTCCCCAACTTGGAGCCCTCCAGATGTGTTGAGCTTTAATTTTCATAGATTAAATGTATTTGCCAGGGGACTATAGGAGTGACACGCTCAATATATCTGAAGAGCACCAGGCTGGGAAAGGTAATTTAAATCAGGGATGGGCAATTCACAAGTCCATCGGTCCCCAGACACACATTTTGTGTACTTTAGAGCTCCCTCTGCCATATTTTAATGATGGTTTTCTCAACCAATATTTAAGGTCTGTAGACTGCTGTGAATTGATTCTGATTGATTTTTATCTGGGGGATTTCTGCCTGGCCCCATCTACATTGCTTCGTAGCTTAATCGAATTCCTTGAAATCCTGGGTCAGAACAACAAGTTCAAATGCAATTTTTACCGACCTTTTCTCTAAGCAAACATTTTGTGCTTATCTGAAAGGAGTTCTAATTTGGTTGAAGCAAAAACTCTTGAAGGACTGGTGCTCCTTTCCCTCTATATGGATCTCTGCCTCCTCTGAGGTTTTTAATTCATGCGTTGCTAGTTAAAATTGGTTCACCGACAAAAGCGCGCCCGACTAAACCACGGTGACAAAACTGCGAGTTCTAAAGCGCTCCGACAAATGAGCGCTGAATCGCACCGACAACAGTGCGGCGACAGTAGCGCGGCGACAGAAGCGCGCTATAAACCTAAACCTAACCCTAAACGTAACGCTAACCCTAAACCTAACCCTAAACCTAACCCTTACCTTAACTTAAATTGCCCTTCTGTCGACGCGCTGTTGTAAATCGCCCTTCTGTCGACGCGCTGTTGTCGGCGTGTTGATAATGTCACGGTTTCAGCGACGCGGTTTTGTCTGCGCGCTTTTGTCAGGTCACGGTTAAAATTAAACCTCAAACCTTTAGTAATAATGTTTAATAGTGTTATTGAAACATCACCTAAAGAAGTGAGAATTGCACTTCTTTATAGACCAAGGGATGATAAGTTGTGTTGTTGATTTCTCTGCTCATCCTCAACAATGACCTCAGGAGCATTTGTCAGCCAATGAGGGTACATTAAAATTCTGAGCTGTACAGTCGCACAGCAGGGCTCTTAAAGTTACCTGAGGTGAGAGTCAGTCTCTCTTGAGGACTTTTGGGTTGATCTTTTACCCTTTAGATCGAATGTTCAGCATGTATTTCTTGTTTCTTCTTCTTTCCTGGGATTTCCTTGGGGCCCACTTCTGTATTTTCCAGGCAGTAGCAGCAGCAGTAGTTCAGACTCTCCATGCTCTGTCATAGAAAAACCTCTGGATAAAACCTTCACTAGTGAGTGGGAGCTCTTAAGTCATCCAGTGAAGCTTTGGCCTCTCCATAATCTGTGCGCTCATTGTTTTGATGCTGCATTTTGCTCCTCTGCCCCCCTGATACATCAGTTTTTGTTCAGAGTGAAATGTGGATTTGCTCCACATAAAGTAAAGCATGCTTTTTCTTTTGCTGTTTCAAACTTACCTACAAACACCAGGATTCGTCTTAGCTCAATAGTTCAAGAAAGGAAAAAAGAAATATTGGTATTGCTCATAGCAGCCAGGGTATGGGGTAACAGAAACGATTTTTAAAAAGGCTTTGTTGACACTGTCTGATACGGTATAATCATACTAAGCACAGCTACCTTTTGGCAGGTTTTTTTTACTGTAGGTATATGCTTTGGAATGGGAGCTGGATTAGATAATCTTTGTTACAAGTGACACTGAATGTCACTAGTAAATGACTTTAGATGCCTAACACTTTGCTTATGTGGGAACTTCCCATTAGTTTCTGGAGCAGGGGGTGTCCATAGGGTGTGGTTTTTTAAAAAAAAAA